TGGGAAAATTCTACTACCAGTCCTTCATCACCTTACACGAAATAGGGTGAATACATCTCATTACTCTATTCTAACCTTATATTTAGCATAATTACGGTTATCTTTAATTTAGGCAAGTTGGTAGTTATAACGAGCCATATCATCAATTATTTCTGTTTGCTACTTATACCATTATGTACTTCAATTTTATGCTGATGCAGAACAACATAAATATTCAAATGATTTTCTATCTTTCGTTTAACATACATGTATATATATATGTGTGTTTATTTATCTTACCATATATAATATATCCGCATCCTAGTCTACGGAGGCAGCGCAAGCCACGTGTTCTCCTGATCTCGACAACCCATTTGAAATGGCTGCTTTCCTGGCGAACAAAGAGAGCTTGTCGTCCGCACCTGCCACCTCGGTACCTCCATCTGCCTCAGATGATAAAGCCTCCGCAGTCACTATTAGCTCGTCAGGCAAAACTAGCCGATTTGCTCTGGCTCCATCGCGAAATGAAGCGTTACACTCATTCCGAGCTCTATTCTGTCGACGATGTTTTAAATACGACTGTGCCTTGCATCCCTACCGATCTACACAGTCTATGTGGAGCTATCGTTGGCCCGTCACACATTCCGCCAACATTGGTTAGTCGATCTCTGAATTTTTACAATGGGAATTTTTCATTGAAATATCATATTAGTATCCATTCAGCAATTTGTATATTGGACAAAAGGAATTCAGCCAATTATCGGAGATTAAGTCAACTGAAATCTTGTAGAAATTCAAAAGGGTTTCCATCCATCTATAGCCCATTTTTAATATGTATTAACTTTAAACTTAATAGAAGTGGGTTGACCTGGTTTTCTCAACTTGGTCTTGTTGCCAAGGGGACTTAGTTGAACACACCTTGTCCGAAGTCCTCTGCAATAGTAGTTATCATAATTCCTAGCATAAGACTGTGGAATTGATACATTCTGTGATCATACCGGGCGCCACACCATCTTGGTCTTCATATCTCCGTTTAAACTTGATGACTCAAGCAAGCTTTTTCCCTCACCTCATCGTCGGCAGACAAAAGTTCTTGGACTAGAATAATGCCATCAAACCTATTGTTTCCTACAATTTTCAAGATTCCTCTCTTATTTAATCTTTTTTACACGTTTTCTGTAGAAAAGAGTCTCTGCAACCCCATGGTGGTTATTTAATTCCTTAAGTCTCTTGTCTAGCCCATTCGGTTTTATTTATGACCGTTTCAATATCGTCTCGTCAACTCATCAATCAAAAAATGCCCCAGATTTTTGTTGCCAATGTTTGTGGCCCCCTGGCACTCAAACTTTGACCAGATGGTTAGCTGAATAACGAATTTCTTTCCATACCAATTAAAGTAATACCCTTTTACATTAGGCTTGATTCCTGGATTCTTGCGCCACTATTTTGGGGCAGCTATACTTTTATGTCAAGCATATTCCTGATGCATTTTCTGCTCTTTTA